TCAACCTCACAGGGCCCCCGAGTGCGCCTTCAAGTACTGTTTCGCCTCCAGGATACCGGCAAGGATGGGGTCAGCATGATTCCTTGGTGGCCAGAAGCAGCCAAGTCAACGACCGTCGGCAAACCAACCGTCAAATCCAGACGCAAAAACCTCCGCAAAAGCAATATGTGATTGCGCATCGCCGCGAGTAGGGAGCAAGCCATTGATCGGTCAGATATACGTACCTCGCATCGGCGGCTAGCGTGCATCCTGTCACTGTCTGCAAGCCACCTGAGCCCTCTGATTGGCTCGCAAATGCTGCAGCCCAAGCCAAACGACCGGGATCTTTTTATCCTCCCAAACTCCATCGGCAACCAAGACCAACTAGATTTTGAGCCTCTCTTCTCATGGCTGACCTGTCGACTGACGAGTCGCTTATCCACTCTGCAATTGGAAACCTTGTCCCAGAAGCGCCGACTTGCATGTCCGCCACACACCGCTCTCCTCCACTAAGCGACAACTCTCTCCTCATCGCTCTCGGAGTTTCAATGGCCAAAGGGTCTTGTCACATCAACAAAGGCTTTCACCGTCCCGTGTCAAGCAGCCAGTGACAGCAGTTCCCTTGATTGCCGACCGTTCCAAGGGCCTGCACTCGGCAAACTTTGCTCCTGCAGGAAACTGTTGGTCAAAAGGTGCATCGCGTCGCTTTGAGAGAAGCCACCCGCGCTTGCCTCGCATGGCGTTGCAAGATCACACTTTGCACTGGCCGCTCGAAGCTTGTTTGTGCCACGTCAATCAACCATTTACGAGTCAGTTGGACTCAAACACCGCGATGGACATGTTTGACTAGAAATTATACATTTCTTGAAAATCTCCTTGCACGCTATCTAGCCACTCCGTGCATCCTTTCCACCACAGGGTAATCCACGCCACCACAAGAAAGAGAACGGTATCCCACCCACAGATCGTTACAAACAACAAAGGAGAAGAATTGCTTGACGCTATGCTTTGCCAGCCAGAAACACCCAAAAGGTATAAGCAAGGAAATCCAACCCATCAATCACGTTTAGAAGAGCGCAACGGCAGCAGCGACACCCGCAATCAGGCCAACAACGACGTTGACGCTGCCCTTGGTAGCCGCACCAGTGTAGTGCGGGCTAGGGGAGGGGGTCGAGCTGGCGGTGGCGAAAACGCGCGACGCAGTAGCGGCGTCGACGATGGGAACACCAGCGGAGGGGCTGCCGCTAACAGCGGGGTTGTGGAAGTGGACGACCGTGCCGTTGCTGGGGCGGACGAAGGTGCCGTTGAAGGGGCTGGGGACGGCCTTCATGACGACAGTCGAGAACTGGACGTCAGGGGTGGCAACGGGAGTGCTGGGGGGAGTCATCTGGAAGGCAGGGGGAGTTCCAGCAGGGGGAGTTCCCTTGGGGGTGTGGCGGGGACCACCGAAAGCGGGGGTGCCGGCAACAGGGGTGCTCGAGACACCAGCAACCTGGGAGCTGGTGAAGTCGGCAACCTTGACGCCACCGGAGGAAGTCTTGGTGCAGTCGCAGTCGGTGACGGTCTGGACCTCGGTGGTGTACTGAGTGACCATGGGAGCGGGAGTGGTCTCCGCGCTGGGAGCCGGGGTGTACGAGGGAACGTCAACGGAGACGGAAGGAGTCTCGCTCTCGACGGAGACGGCGGGAGTGTACGAGGGGACATCGACCGAGACCGAGGGAGTGGAGGTGACGCCGCCAACCGAAGAAGTGGTCTCCTCAGCGGGGGCGGAAGGAGCGGGAGTGTAAGAAGGCACATCGACGGAGACAGAGGGAGTCTCGACGGAAGAAGTCTCCTCAGCGGGGCTCGAGGGGGCGGGAGTGTACGAAGGAACATCGACCGAGACGGAGGGAGTGCTGGTCACACCGCCGACGGAAGAAGTGGTCTCCTCAGCAGGGCTCGAGGGGGCAGGGGTGTACGAGGGGACGTCGACCGAAACCGAGGGGCTCGAGGGAGCCGGGGTGTACGACGGAACATCAACGCTGGCGGCGGGAGCGGAGCTCTCGGCGGGGACAGGCGAAGGAGTGGCGGGCGACGAAGGAGCCTCGGCAGCAGACGAAGAGGCCTCCTCAATGGGGCAGACGGTGGTTCTCACATCGACAGTCTCGGTGACGGTGTGCTCCTGGGTGCCGCTGGTGGTGGTGCGGACACGGGTCGAGCGGACAGTCGAGGTGGTGTATCCCTTGGAAGCAGGGGGAGTGGTGAGAGCACCAACCTCGGACGAGGTCGCGGGCGAAGGCGTAGCCGGGGCAGAGGGAGCCTCAGTTGCGGACTCAAGAGCAGCGGAAGAAGAAGCCTCAGCAACGGGGCAGACGGTGGTGCTGACGTCAATGGTCTCAGTGACGGTGTGCTCCTGGCCGTCGCTCGTCGTGGTGCGGACGCGGGTCGACTGGATGGTCGAAGTGGTCATGGGGCCCGTGGGGTCGACCGATCCGGCATCAGTGATGGCGGCAGTCGGCGAGGGGCTGGTGACAGTCCAGGCGGTGGAAAAGGCCGAAGACCAGGCAGAGCCCTCAGCGGTGGCAGAGCACGACTCCGAGGCGCTCTCAATGCAAGAGCAGGACTCGTCCCAGGTGGAGCTGAACAGGTCGAGGTCGAGATCCACGCAGACGTTGAGGGGAACCAGATCGACACAGGCCGAGACCTTGGCCTCGAGGATGACCTTGTTCTTGCAACGGCACTCGGGGGTGTCGTTGACACAGACGTCGGCCAGGGCGTTGATGAAGCACTTCTCGCGGCATCCGCCGGGGTTGGGGGGAGCGACGCAAGACTTGCCGCAGGTGGTGACGCTCGAGGTTGCGAGCGAAGTTGCGGTGGTCGTGGGAGTTCCACCAAGGTTGACACCGGCCGAGGCGGCGATGCCAGAGGCAAGGCCAACACCGGCAGTGGCAGCGGCGTTGAGGCCAAGGACGTCGGCACTGGCGCCGAGGTCGAGAAGGTTGGCGGAAGCGCCAGAGGCCAGGACGGCGGCCGCAAATGCTTTACGGTAAGCCATTGCGTAGGTTTTTTGGTGGTATTAGGAATTAACGAGTGTAAAAACTAATCGACGAGCAGGCCCGATTCTTCTAAAAGAGTGAAGAAGGTCGGAATAAAGAATTGGGAAGTGCCCGTACTGGAGTGAGTTGGGTGAAGAAGAAAGAAAGAAGCGAAGGAGAGTCAGGCCTCTATATAGACCCAGCGACGACGGGCAGAGGACTGACGATCTCACTCATCCCATCTGGAGCGCAGCGGGGGCTTTGCTGGGCCGACGAATCACGGTGGAGTGGCAACGACATAGGGCTCTCATTAGCAGTGCCTCTTTGGGAAATCAACAAGCGCTGCCGGTCGATGCCTGTTCCTGGCAAACCCAGCTCCCGGATCCCCATAATGGAGCTTCTAGATGGCCGAGCACGAGCAGACCTTGGGCTTTGCGTATCGGCGACTGGCCCTATCAGGATCAGGGGTATTGGTTCGTGGAGACAGGAGCCAAGTGACGTTGGAAAGAGGAAGAGTTGGTGGTTGGACGTTGTGGTCGGCAGACGGCAGCTTCGGGCCGGAGCGTGCTCGTTGCGCGTTCGTCTCCCCGACCCACCTCTTCGGGTCCGTGCCGACAAATGAGGCTCCTGCTTTTGGACAAGGGCTTCCCCTTTTTGTCCACCGCCCTCGAAATTACGTGCAAATCGAATCCACGAGCTTGGGGCTCCAGGGGTCACCATCCGCCTATGCCTGCAGCCCCGACCAGTTGTTCTATCACGATCTTCGCCTCGTCTCCTTTTCACCATTCCTTCGCTACAGAGCCCGAACCGTCCAATGACCCCGAGCCTTTCGTAACCCGAGGCTCAGCAAGTCCGAATACGCACATTCAACCGCTTCACGAAGCAGCTCTGTTGTCCACAATGTGGAATTTTAGTGCAGATACGAGGCCAGATGCACAAGGATCACCAGATCGATTCCGGGGTGCCGACTGCTTCTTGTTGAAAAGCAGCGCATCTCGAGCCTTCAAGCTCACCGGCAACCAAAGACAGCCGTCTGCCAAGAAAATGCCAGCACCGTGCTCGCGTGCTTTTGGGGGACACGATCCAAAATCCGGTGAGTATGAGACATCTCCGGGCAGCCGGCAAAAATAAGTCGAGGCGGGGGAACGGGAAGCTTGGTCTTTCATTGGCGTCTGTTCTTCAGCAGCCCCCGACAATTTGGCGGTATGGCGAGCTTCGAAGCGCTCTCTCTTCGAGAAGGCGCTCGACTGTCGACATTTCGCAAGACGGTAGGTATCATCTCGACAGTGTTGCAATTGTTCTTCATTTCGGGCGCGGAGATGCTATCAATCACAGCAGGAGCTCCAATATCTCGCTCTGACTGTCTCTCATTACTGTCGCCATTTCTTGGCTTCAATTCGTCTGCGATCCAAAATCAACTCATCCCGCGTCCCGCGCTTCAATATTCAATACGCGTCGTTCGATTCGCGCTGGGAGACGCCAGACTCGTGTCTCACTCATGACGACTTCTCCACCGACTCACCGCTGAGTCTCAGCTGGCCAGACCCAGGTCCAGCCCGAACTTCTTCCTCGAACACGATGCGGCAAAGCCCGGCGACCGTATGAGCAAGAATCTGATAGGGAGCACAGCCGCAAAGACAATGACGCGCTGGACTCGGATGGCTGGCGCGGACCAGTGTCCGCGTGGCTGATTGACGCTCGAGCCTATAGAGACCGGGAGTGCCCAGTGACCCCTTCGACTTGTGGCCAAAACTCACCGAATCTTCCACTTTTGCTCTGGGTTGGACGAACGCTGCCAGTTTTGTTTGCTTGCAGTTTTTGATGGCTGGTCTTCAATGTTTGTCAGACTCGCTCACCTGCACAGCGTCAAGCGGCATTGCCTGGATTTCTAACCTTCCAATCACCAAACGCTCCCGGTCCTGCGACTCATCATCATTCACCAACAATTGACATCTACATGGCAGCAAAACGACTTATCCTTCCGCTCATGGACAGCCAAAAAGAATGCTCCGTCGCCGAGAGTCGAACTCGGGTCTCCAGATGGGCAAGCCCGGCCACGCGACGCACCCGAGTCGTTAAGGCTGTCTTCAGTTTCCTGAAGGCGGATCCCCACAACCAGCCTTCTCTTGACCGGGTGGCATGCTCGTAAGTCATGCGACGTAGCTCACTGTAAGGTCTGGCGTGCTACCACTGCACCACGACGGATTGTTGGCAGATTGAAAGGACTGAAGTGAATATAATCAGCCTCTTCCTCCACCTGGAGAGTAAAAAGAAGGGTGACTAGACCAGGAAACAAGCAAAAGAAATCTTCCGTCGCCGAGAATCGAACTCGGGTCTCCAGACAGGCAAGCCCGGCTGCGTATCGCACCTGGGAGCAGGTGCGGCTGACCTCAGTTGCCTGAGGGTGGTCGCCCACAACAGACCGCCCTTCATTCCCAGGTGGCATGCTCGTAAGTCATGCGCGCGCTCTGTATGAGGTCTGGCGTGCTACCACTGCACCACGACGGATTCTTGACAGATCGAAGGGGCTGAATCGTATAACATTGGCCCTTTTTCTCATCCTGCCGGGCAAAAGAAGACAAACAGGTCCTGGAAAAGAGCAAAAGAAATCTTCCATCGCCGAGAGTCGAACTCGGGTCTCCAGATGGGCAAGCCTGGCCACGTAGCTCACCTGGAGCACCAGCGAAGGCCGCTCCAGTTTCCTGGTACAGGCGCTTCCCGCGCGTCTCGGGTGGCATGCTCGTAAGTCATGCGACGTGACAGCATATGTGGTCTGGCGCGCTACCATTGCACCACGATGGATTGTTGGTGGGGTCTACGCGCCCAAATGAATAAAGACTGCACCCCTCAGCTCTGAGAAGCTGCAAATCTGCAAAAAGAGAGCGCTTAACTGCGACGAGAGCGGCAAAAGGTTTCAATCGCTGAGATTCGAACATTCGAACTCGAGGCTCTTCACTAGACGTTACCAAGCCTCGCACCCCAACCAGGCGAGGTTGGCGAGGGGTTGCCCGCCACCAGACACTTTCCTTCATGAGGTGGTATGCTCGTAAGTCATGCGTCGCAGCCTGTGTGGTAGGTCCCGCGTGCTCCACTGCACCACGAAAGACTGATGTTGACTGACCAGGGGCAAATGCAATGGCAGTGACGAAACCCCTTCACATGACAATGCCCACTCCATCAAAAGAGACTGGACTCCACCACTCAAACGTACCTTGAAAGAGCAAAAAAATAGACATGATTCCATCGCCGAGAATCGAACTCGGGTCTCCAGCAGCGAAGAAGGTTGCCTGGCCACGCACACACCCCGCGCCTGCAGGAAAACGCTATTAACGCTTAATAAGATATTAACCATTAAGAGAGATTTCGCTGAAGGGACGCGCTGCCGCTAGGTAAGAACGACAGGCGAGAGGTGGCATGCTCGTAAGTCATGCGGCGCGGCAGCAGTTGGATGCTGGCGTGCTAAACCACTGCACCACGATGGACTCGGTTTGTTGTTGGAGAGGAGGTGGAGGATTGAGTTGATATGCTGACTGGAGAGGGTTTGGGAAGGTAGTGTGGGGCAGGTGTGAATTGGGAAGGCGGAGCGGAGCTGTCTTGGGAAGAGAGTTGTTGCGGAAGCAGCAGACGCTGAAGCTGGCAGCAGACTGGTTGAAGTGGAAAAGGGGACGTCGCTCCCCATCGATATTTGACCATCGGCGAGAGTCAAAAATGGCGAAGCCATTTCAAGACGCATTTGCGGAATTGAGAGCTGTGTTTGCAGCCAGAGTTGATGGACAGTATGCAACTGCAATCTTCAGCAGGTAGGTAGATTTCTTCTCACTTCAGTCTGCCACGGCATCTGGACGGCCTCGCCAGCTTTTGATCACTCTTCTCTGCAAGAGGTCTGCTTCAGTCAGCGTCTTGATCTTTTCCACAACACTGCACAATCGCTGCAGCATTCCGTTGGGCAAATGTGTCTGCCAACCCTGAATTGGTCAAAATTACACCAGAGCCGGAAGCAAGAGGAGAATAAGAGGCTCTGGTGAACCACGCGATCCAGTAACGGCAGATCTGGCTCAATGGTGATATGTGGTTGGTGAGAAAGCCAAGACTAGCTAGTCCAACGCCGCCCTGAAAAACGAAAGAAACGCAAACTCCAAGACTGAACATCGAGGCTTGGAGCATATGTGCCCCGGCCGTGTGAATTCGAGCTTAGCAGACAGTCTTGGCCACGGGTTGGATGTGTGCGCTGCGGCTGAAGAAGCTGTTCTCTGATCTGACAGACTACATGATTCTTGCTTCCCCTTAAGCATCCCACCCTCCTTTGCGCTTCGCAACCATGCGCCCGCCCGTCCTACTCGCGGAAGCCAGGACAAATATTTTAAAAGACAGCTGAGCTGCAAAACCTGACCTACAGCCTCCCACGCCCGTACGCAAGAGCAAGTACAGGAAACAATGACGCGATGCGTACGAATCGACATGCCTGTGCGAAACGGCTGCGGGTATGACATCCACGCTCCGATGCCCCTTTTCGCGACACTCGCATATCATGACTCCCATATCCAACTTCGGTGAGATAGAGGGATAAGTGTATTCGGAGCTTTTGTTTTTTACCATAGAGGTCTCCCTGTTATCAGCGAGGTGGTGGCAGTGTATGATTCTATTTCGCAGACGTCCTTCCCCATCCGGTTAGCGCCACCATCTCCCCTTTTCTTCTTCCATCTGCGTCAGCTCTTCAAGGATATGCGACACTGACAATTACAGATCCTCATCACCTCACCAACCGCCGCCTCTGCTATTGTGCGCAGTTCATGCGAAATTCGAAGGCCAAATGGAAAAGTGCGCATGCGATTGGCTGTCGAAGCGCTGCAGGTGTCTCGAAAGGGAAATTTTCGCAACTTTGAACGTAGGAGAAGTTGTCAGTTTTAGGTTGTCGTTAGGTTCGCGCTTGTTTTACGGTTGTTTTATGGTTGTTCTACCGTTGACGTCGTCGCTCCGGCAAAAGAAACACCATCGCCCGGCACTGGCATAATACTCGATCGCATGTGTTGCAACAAATCGACAGTGTCGCAGTCTTCTCGAGGCTACAAAAGCATGAAATTCTGAGAATATTGCATGCGGAAGGAATTTGAGGCAGTTTCCCCGCAGAAGTCTAGCTGTGAAAGTATGCCACAGTACAGGACGACGACAATCCGCTGCCCACAACAACTCTTTTCGGCCAAGACGTCCACAAACTTCATCAACTTCTCGCATCTCGAGCCGGTACGAGCTCAGTCATCTTTGCAAGCAAAACACTCTCGCAACGGTCAGAAAGGCTGCAGCTTCAACCGCCCGCCGAGATGAGCTGCTGCCTCGGTAGTGACGTAGCACAGGGAACAGGCAAAGTCAAACGCACCAAGACATCGAGAAACCTTGCTCTTCATGATTACTCATCATGGATCAGGAACCGACGACAGCTCCCTCTGCGTCGCCCAATCAAACCTCTCCTTCGTCCAGCTTCATCTGCACGCCCGCTCTCCACATCCCGCACGCCCTCCGCCAAAACGTCGACGTCGAGATTCGATCAACCGGGAATGGTCTTGGGCCCCCCTCGTCCGAGCCGAGCGCACCACCTGAATGCGTCCATTTCGGGCAGTCGCCCAGGGGCATGGCGTCGAGAGCTTTGCATGTGCCAGAGCGGGCGTCGCCGTAACTCCTCACTGCTCCTCCTCTCCCCGCACTGTCAGGTATCCAGCGGCACTTCACGATGGGCACGATGTCAACCTTCTCGTCGACCAAACAACATCAGTCTTTCTCCTCACGTAACGCTTGCGGCATTTGGAGCAAAGTGCATCTCAGCAATGGCATAACCGGAAGTTGACGGTTCTGGAAGACTTCGACGTTTGTAAAGACGAAACGCAGCCGGCGGCCGACTCTCCGCCAAATTTTAAACTTCTCCAAACTCCAAGATTTGCGAGATTGTCCGTTTAGATGATCGTCGCGCCGCAACCTTCTTATATCGTTTTGGCGTTTGTCTTGTACCTGTGGTTGCTGCTAGTTATACCCTGGCCATCGACTTTAAGATCTAGGGAGTGTTCCGCTGCTGCAAGTCCCCACCATCATCGTCGCTCTTTACGGAATCCACTTCTGCTCATCATGAAGGCTTCACTGCTTGGTCTTGCTGTTGTTTCGCTTCTGGTGGGAGAGGGTTGGGCGCAAGGTTCGGACAAGCCGTTGCCCGTTGTTGACTTGGGGTATGAGCTCTACCAAGCCAACTCATTCAACGTAAGTCTCCATCTTCTTTGCAGACCTTTCGTTCTAACATCGTCCAGAGAGAACGCGCTTTCTACAACTTCTCCAACGTCCGCTACGCCGCGCCTCCACTCGGCGAGCTGCGCTTCAAAGCTCCCGAGTACCCCGCGTTCGACAGGTCGTTTGTCCGCACTGGCTCGGAAGGCAAGATTTGTCCACAGGCTCTGCCGCGCTGGACGGGCATTGCGCCCACTTGGCTTACCAACTACATCACCAAGGGAGAGATTCCCCCAGGTATTCCCAACGTCGATCTCAGCAGCCAGGCAAACGCCAGCTTGTTGGGCGATCCTCGGCAGACTGAGGACTGCCTGTTCTTGGACGTCATTGTGCCGCAAGATGTATTTGAGAAGCCGTCGAGATCAAGAGCGCCTGTGCTCGTGTGGTTCCACGGTATGTGCTTCAGTCTCCTCCCCTTCCCCCAAGAACCATCACTGACACACCCCCAGGCGGCGGCTATACCTCCGTCTCCAAATCCGACTCGGGCGACCCCTACGGCCTCCTCAACCGCAGCCGCACCAACGGCGAAGAAATCATCTACGTAACCATCAACTACCGGCTCGGAGCCTTCGGCTTCCTCTCCGGGCCGTCGTTCCAGCAAAACGGCCTCGCCAACGCCGGTCTGCACGACCAGCGCTTCGCGCTCGAGTGGATCCAACGGCACATCAGCAAGTTCGGCGGCGACCCCAACCGGGTCACGCTGCTGGGCGAGTCCGCGGGCGGCGGCAGCGTCATGCACCAAATCACGGCGTACGGCGGCTTGCTCGACGTGCCCTTCTCGGGCGCGATCCCGCAGAGCCCCGGCTGGTTCCCCAGCCGCTCGGTGTACGAGCAAGAAGAGATCTTCAAGGACCTGCTCAACGCAACCAACACGCGCAGCGTCGACGAGCTGCGCGCCCTCTCCACCGTCGAGCTGCAGCAGGCCAACCGCCGCGAGGTGCAGGGCTCCGAGTACGGCTTCTTCAAGTACGGCCCCGCCGTCGACGGCTTCTTCGTGCCTGCCGACCCCAAGACGCTGCTGTACCACAGGCAGTTCCCGCGCAAGCTGAACATCATGGCGGGGCACAACACCAACGAGGGCGTCCTCTTCACGCCGCCCCTCACCAGCGACGCCGACTTCCAGGCGTGGGCGCGCCGCGCCTTCCGCTTTGCGCAGCCCGACGTGTACAGCTACATTGTCGACACGCTGTACCCGAACCGCCTCGACGGATCCCTGGGCTACCGCGACCAGGTCGGCCGCGCGGCCCTCGTCATCTCCGAGGCCGTCTTCACGTGCAACACGGTCGGGCTGGCCAACGCCTTCGACAACACGACGTACAACACGCTGTTCAGCGTCTTCCCGGCCATCCACGGGCAGGACGTCGCGCTGACGTACTACGTGCCGGGTGAAAAGTACACGGGTGGTGGAGGGGACAGCTACATCAGCAACTTCCCGGTCAACGAGACGCTCGCGTTTGCGCTGCAGGATTACATTGTCACGTTTGCGGCGAAGGGTAAGCCGGATAGTGCGGTTGATGGGCTGCCGCTTTTTAGGATGTATGGCAGCGATGCGAGCGTTATTGAGCTGGGGAGCGAGTTGAAGGAGAGTAAGGATCCGGCGAGTAATGAGAGGTGTCGGTGGTGGCAGCTGCAGTTGCAGAACTGAGGGGGCGGGGGAAGAAGGGAGTGAGGGGTAAAAGCTGGGGGGCGTAAGTAATTGGGGTTATACGTACTTGTGTGGAAATTTGAGGTAGAGATGTTCTCTTCTGCAATCGCATCGCTTTTCATTTCAGACGTACAGGACTCCTCCATCTTGAAGGAGAAGGAGAAGAACCCATCATCGACGCATCGAGCAATCCCAATTCTGTCTGATCCATGTCTGCTAGGCGGAAAGAGCATCGGCATCGCCGCTAACTACACAAGTAAGTCGACATGGCAGTTCTCTTCCCCCTCCGAATCTTGACCTCTCTTCCATGTATCACTGACGGAAGTACGCCATGGGAAACCTACTACCAGGCGCCGTGTAAAGACGGGGCAAAATGGAGGAGAGTGTTGACGATGATAGATGCATATTCATTAAGACTTTTTACGTACGGTCGTGAGTCAATGACGGACATGAAGGAGAAAAAGGAAGAGGGAATCAAGAAGAAGAGCTCGGGCAAGCAATCAACTTGCCTCAAAGCCAACCAACCCACACCCAAACAACCCACCAGTCTACGCGGCAACCATCGCGTAA